TCGCAGAAGTTGTGACACTTGCCTTTTTAACTTTTCCCTCCCCCACTGTTCAAGACCCCAAACCCATCTTCTAGGTGAAACAACATTTTACTTGTGATTCTTTCAATGTAGTCTACTGTATTTGCTGCTCACGATGTGGCAAGACCAAATGTTAGCTGGTTGACCACTTTGCGGAACATTTCCACACGGATGCCCCACCCCACCCAGCCCCAGAGTCCTAGGATTTTGACCCAGCAGCAATGAAGGAACAGCGACATATTTCCAAGTCAGGATTGCTGAGTGCTTTGTGATTGTTGGGAAGGCGTTTGCAAGTGGTGGTGTCCCCATGTAGCTGCTGCTGTCGTTCTTCTCAATGATAGTGGCCATGGGTTTGGAATGTTCTGTCTGAGGAGCCTTTGGTGAAATTCTGTGCTGCATCTTGTAGATAATATGCAGCTTCTGCTGCTATGTATAGGTAGTGAAAGGAATGAATGTATGTGGATGTGGTGCCAATCATGTGGGCTGTTTTGTCCTGGATGGTGTCAAACATCTTGACAGCTGCTGGAGCTGTACTTAAAGCAAGTAGAGTGTATTCCTTCATCCTCCTGACTTCTGCCATGTAAATGGTGGATAAGCATTGGGGAGCTCGGAGGTCAGTTACTTGCTGCAGGATTCCTAGTTATTGATCTGTCAACAGTATTTGTATGGCCTGTCCAATTCAAGGGTGATGGTTAGATTCTCCCTTCTGGAGCTGGCTTGAGAGTTGCTTACCACTTGTCAGATCAAAAACCTGGATACTGCCCAGGGCTTGCTGCATTTGGAGGTGGACTGCGTGAGTATCTTAGGAATCGTAAATGGTGCCAAATCTTTTACAGTCGTTAGCGACCATCTCAACTTCTAACCTTAAGGTGGAGGAAATGTCATTAACGAAGCAACTGAATGTAGTTGGGCTGAGAACGCTACCCTGAGGAACTCCTGTAGTGTTGGAGTTGAGTTGACTGACCTCCAATGACCACAACCATCATTTTTTGTGCCAGTTAGGATTCCAACAATTGGAACAGCACTAATATACATGGCATGTTTGTCCCAGGCTGCTTCATGGGTGACTTTGTCTTTGTATAGGATGGGAGTTGGAGGTTAATGAGCCTTTTTTTCTTGGTTGGCATAGGTTGTCCAGGCTTTGCTGCCACATGACGCTGTGCTGAAGACGCACACATTGTCGGTAGACATCTTGGTGCTACAGATTAGTTTGTTTTTCTCCCAGTCCATTTTGTTTATTCAGCCACAGGAGCCCCTGCCTTTCCAATGCGTGTGCTGAGCTCGGAGACAAACTTGTCTTCGATCGAGGGTAGCAGCATTAGTTGACTGCTTCCAGTAATGTATTGATGAGTCTGATTACAGGTTGAGACACAACACTTTGCCCCATAAGTATCATTTTCTTGAAACTGATGATGATAGACAGCATGGAAGATATCTGACTCGATTAGTTAAGGATTGTCCCATCTGCTTGTGTTGAGGTAGACTACTTCCACGATGGTAGGGAAACCATTTGGTCAGGTGGACAAAGGGAATGGTACAATCGAGACCATGAGAGAGATGCATCCCCTTTCGTGCTAAATAGCTGTAAGAACAGGTTAGAGGCTGGGAATTCTATGGTGAGTAACTCCTTTCCTGATGCCTTGGAGTCTGCCACTATCTACAAAGTACAAGACAGGGCTTGTTTGGATGAACACAGTTCCAATGCACTAAAGAAGCTCGATACCATACAGTACAAAGCAGCGTGCTTGATCAGCACCCATCTACCACATAAGAAGGATGGAGGGCATTTAATGCACAGGAACATCATCACTTGCACAGCAAGCCTCTCGCTGTCCTGTCTTTGAACAATATTGCTGCTCATTCACTGTCACTGGATCAAAATGAGCTCCCTTCCAAAAAGCATGGCTGTGCCTACACTACGTTAACTGCATTGATTAAGGACGTGGCTCATCACCGCCTTTTCCAGGTAATTAGGGATGCGTGAGAAATGCCAGCAAGAATGAATTTTTAAAAAGTGAAATGAAAAACACATGAGGAAAGTACTTTCGCAGTATAGGGTTTGAAGTGTATCTGAAATTTACGAACAAATGATTACCATAGCAATTTGCTGCCAGAAGGTGGTGATGGTATGCTTTGTTTCACTGGCTGATGACATGTCTGCAGTGATGGCTGTGAACAACTGCAAGGATGTTGAGTGTAGAGAGCTGCATATTTCTATTAAATATTTGTTCCTTGATGTTTTTGCTTTGCTGAATAGATCTTTTAAAAATGCCTGCTTTAATCTGTGATTTTATGTGCTATATTCCTTCCAGTATTATTTCAGCTGCTTTTGCCTTCTACATCAATACTACTGTGCATATTTTAGCCAAGTATAGTCGCATTCTGCACAGGTATCTGTTTCAGAAATGGTGTATGTTAAATGTTATTAGAAAGGGATTTTATTCCCTTATAATTAAACTGTTGTGTGTTTGTAAGCTGGTAGTACTGAAGTTGAAAAAGTAGATCGCTAACTAAACAGAAATTAACTGTGCTTGTACATTTGCCATCCAAGATTGCAATTGTATTGCTGTTTGAAATGACAGGAGATAGACTGGCAATGTTTATTGGCCTGTTTGCTAATGATCCTAATGAGTCTGAGTTGTCTGGTACATTCAGTACTCATTATTGAGAGAAAACGAGGTAGACAGAATTCAGTTTTATCTTCTAAGAAACTGAATCCTACAATGAATTGTTTCTGAAAATGGATTGCACCACCATGGGCACTATTTGAAGGTAGTCTAGCCAATGTTTATCCCCAGTCAACGTTGCGAGAATACAGAATATTTAGTTATTATCATAAAGCTGAGTCCCTCAAAAAGCACTCTGAATTGGCTGCCACATTTCCTACATTACATTTGTGACAGAATTTTTAGAGTATTGTATTAGCTATAATTCGCATTGTGGTGTTGTGAGGTGATAACTGCTGAAGAAAGGTATATTTCCTTCTCATGGGAGTGACATTGTAGAACAGCTGAGCCCAGTGCTGAGACGCTGCTGGTTTCAGTTCTAATTGAAATGTAGACTTTGCTTTCGTGGTAAGTTGCAATTTTGTGGGTGCAAATAAAACCAAAAAACATGTACATTGAATCAAGTGACTTTGATATCTTGGGTGTTGGCTGGTGCTGTTAGAAACTTAGAAAATAAGAATAGGCCATTTGGCCCTTCGACCCTGCTCTGCCATCAATATGATCATGACTGATTATCCAATTTTATGCTCTATTTCATCTCCTTCTTTTTGATCCCTTTAATCCTAACAACTGTATTTAAGTTTTTCTTGGAAACATTCATGCTTTGGTCTTAACGGCTTTCTATGGCAGAGAATTCCACAGGCTCACCACACTCTGGGTGAAGAAATCTTTCCTCTCTTCATCTCAGTCCTAAATAGTATCCTTTAAAGTTGTTGAATGAATGCAGGTGAGGGCAGTTTCTCTTATTGCACTTTGCCATCATGTGGTAAAGGTACATTTTGTCTCTGATTCTCCATGGATTCAGCTGACTGAATGGACTGGGACTAAGTGATCTATATGTGAGAAAGAAATATACTTTCTCACGAAGCATTTATGTCTTTTTCCAAGGTAGGGGAGGACAAAACGCGAGGATGTAGGTTTAAGATGACAGGGGGAAGATTTAAAAGGGACCTAAGGGGCAACCTTTTCATGCAGAAATTGGTGCATGTATGGAATTAGCTGCCAGAGGAATTGGTGGAGGCTGGTACAATTACAACATTTTAAAAAGCATCTGAATGGATGTATGAATAGGAAGGGATTAGAGGTATATGGGCCAAATGCTGGAAGATGGGACTAGATTAATTTAGGATATCTGGTTAGCTGGGACAAGTTGGACTGAAGGGACTGTTTCTGTGCTGTACATCTCTATGTCTGTATGTGGGATGTGTGAATGGCCCAAGAGAGAAATGTGCATCTCATTGTGATCTTTCTCTGCGTGGGTTGTGGAGAGCAGGTTATTTTCTTTCTTTTGGAGGGACAGGATTCCACGGGGTGAGTTGGAGGGGATCAAGAGCCATTCCGTCAACCCATGTGAGAAGCAACTGCCCACAGGAGAGGAGCCTGTAAAAGACTCAGCATAGGCTCCATGAAGGCAATGGAATTGGGCAGGTGAGGGAAACAGAACAAAGACATTGGGGTACGAAACCTCCACATATATGTATATACCTGTTAGAAAGCAAGTTTGCAATAAATATTTTTAAATAAAAGGAAGATGTTACATTTATCTAGCATCTTTCATGTACTCCATACTTTACGGTCAATGAACTGCTTTTGAAGAGTGGTCTCAGCTGTAAAGCAAGGGAATTCCAATTTGTGCACTGCAAGATTCCACAAATATAATTGAGATGGAAGACTCTGTAATCTGTTTTATTGATGCTGATTGGAGGATAAGTACTTGAAAGAAGCATGGGACAACATTCCTGCTTATTTGATTTAAATGTGTTCTGCAACCTTTTATGACCACCGGAGGGCTTCAGTTTAGCATCTCATCTAAAAGATGGCATGTTTGATAGTGCAGCACTTTCCCAGTACTACCCTGGAAATATGATCGGAGACTGTGCTCAGGTCTCTGATGTGAAAATTAAACCTGCAGACGTCTTTGAGGTGAATACTACTGAGCCATGGCTCATGCCTTTTCATTTTGAAATTATTGCTTCCTTAAATGTTGCATGTCTTGAGGATTAGACAGTAATGTTTGTTACAATGGAATCTGCTATATTGTAGATGGAAATGATTATTGATTTTAAAAACTACACCATTAAAACAGTATCTAATGTTGGTCAAGAAATGTGAAGAAGCTGGTCACTTCCTATTTTACACTGTTACTGATCATTATTAGACAATCAGGTAATTGAGCTTAAAGACCACTGTTTTTTATTTACATTCTAAATTTATTCTCATGGTGAAAATATTTCTCTTTGCAATCTCTTCCAATAGGTTGTTGCAAATGCTGTGGCAGCGCTGTCTGAGATTAGTGAATCCCATCCCAACAGCAACCTGCTTGACCTCAATCCTCAGAACATCAACAAACTCATCACCGCTCTTAATGAGTGCACCGAGTGGGGTCAGATCTTCATACTTGACTGCCTGTCAAACTACAACCCCAAGGATGAGCGGGAGGCACAGGGGTGAGCTCCTACCTTACATGCTGGCTTGTGAAAGTCCAGTAATAACCTCTAATAGCCTTCATTATTGGCCTGTAGCAAAAGGATGGGCACATGTTGGGGAGGAGGGGGAATCAAATCAAATCAAATCAAAATTATGAAATTCGTGACTTTTGATTATATATTCTCACTCTGCCCTGCCCTCTGGCGACACTTTACTTGGCATCATTTTATTTGGCAAGGTGAATGGTCTTATAGGATTGGTAGTGGAGGAGGTAGTCAGGTATTTTTAACTCAGTACCTCATTTACACGTCTCTGCGTCACTGTCGATGTAACCCCATGTCTGCATCATTACTTTTAGCATTAGACTTGTTGTAATACAGAGATGGTTATTCCGGCTCAGTATAGTACTGAGTGCTCATCATAAATTGGCCTTGACGTTTCCTGTATTGATTTAAGTGGTTGATTTCTCCAGGGATCAAATATGTTTTGTCCTCTAGCTTTTACAGTGTCGTATAAGTTTTTCACTCAGTCTTCCATTTGATGTTAAGTGTGAATGGTTTAAATGCTTGTGCCAGACTCAAGTGATTTGTTCTTGAGTGGTAAAGTGCAGGTTTGTTTAATAATTTTTTTTTTTTAGTTTGTCTTGAATCGTGATTTGAAATGAACCTTTCAGATTTCTGTTGGGCTTTAATGCTGAATTGTGCAATGTAATAATGGAGCATACGTTCTGTCTATAATGATTAAGATCTCTCCTTGAAAGTTGTTCATAATGCTGAAACTTCATCAGTTTCCCTTGAAAGCAAGGCCATGGCAGGAAATACCTAACCAAATGTTTGCAGAATGCAGACCATCAAATTGGCTTTCCTTCCCTGTAGACTCTTCCATTGACATTGATGGCTGAGAGGAGTTGCTTTTCTGCCTGACAGACTGTCGATTTAAATGGAAAGGAGAAGGTTGGAACTTCAACTTAGTCTGTGAGCCAATTCAGAGCTGACACAGCCTGAAAAACTATGGTTCTGCTGATTACACACCTCAACTTTGCTAGTAGTCTGTTTCTTCTTGGTTAGGTTAGCTCCAAATTGACTCCCAAGCCAGTTCAAATTAGTTACCAAGTATTAGCTTAAAGTTGCAGTTACCTGAAGTAAAATTTTCTGAATGTTTTCAAAAGTTCTTTTTGTTTTCTTTTCCTAGTATCTGTGAGCGTGTGACTCCACGACTTTCTCATGCAAACTCTGCAGTTGTGCTTTCAGCTGTCAAAGTGTTGATGAAATTTATTGAGCTTCTTCCTAAGGATTCTGAATATTACAACACCATTCTGAAGAAGCTGGCTCCTCCTCTTGTCACCCTTCTGTCTGGGGAGCCAGAGGTCCAATATGTAGCTTTGAGAAATATCAACCTTATTGTACAGAAAAGGTGAGTCTAAAGCTGGTATATGTATGTGGGCAGTTGTTTGATTTCTAGATTGCTGCCTACCTATCTCTGTGCTTTCTGATCCCAACAGATTCCACTTGCTTTCCAGTACTGCGAAAAGGTGAAATCATCCCTTTTTCCATACTTTTGGGTTTCCAGGCACGGCAGTGGACCTTGTTGTAGTTACCATTAATCATTCCAACCCTTCGTTTCACAAATCGCCATCACTCCTCTGCCTTCTTTTTGCCATCCTCTAACAATATCAGTTCCTTTTACCATCCAAAACAAGCCCTGCAGTGTTCCTGACCAGATAGCAATTAGCATGTGGGAAATCATTTATTAACAGCTTAATATTTTGAGATTTTTAGGCTGTAAAAGGTAACAGCTCCACAATGTGGAGTTATCAGTGGGCCTGGACTGGTCTAAAGTTCGTGCTTATACAACGCTATGTATACTTTCATTTGTTTTTAAAATTTACTCATGGGATGTGGGTGTCACTGGCTGACGGCATTTATTGCCTGTCCCTAGTTGCCCTTGAGAGGGTTGTGGTGAACTGCCTCCTGAACTGCTGCAGTCCACGTGTGGTAGGTTGACCTAAAATGGTGTTAGGAAGCAAATTGTAGGATTTTAACTCGGTGACAGTGAAGAAACAGTGATTTATTTCCAAATTGGAATGATGAGTGGCTTGGAAAAACTTGAGTCTTTGTGGCATTGCCATCTATCTGCTGCCCTTGTCCTTCAAGATGGAAGTGGTCATTGGTTAAAGGGTCTTCTCTTAGGATCTTTGGCGAATTTCTGCAGTGCAGAATGTTGTAGATAATGCAGTTACTGGTAGTGGTGTGGAGGGGGTGGATGCTTGAGAATATGAGTCATAGAAACTAAGAACAGGAGGAGGCCATTCAACCTCTTGAGCCTGCTTTCCCATTCAATATTATCAGGGCTGATCATTAAGCTCAATATTCCGATGCTGCTGTCCTCCCATATCCCTCGATCCCTTAAGACACAGCAGTTATAACTACCACTTCCTTCTTGAAAACATTCTGTGTTTTGGCTTCAACACTTCCTGTGATAGTCAATTTCATAGGCTCACCACTCTCTGGGTGAGGAAATTTGTCTTCATCTCAGTCCCAAGTGGCCTATCCTTTATCCTTAGACTGTGACCCTTGCATCTGAACTCCCCCACAATCAGGAACATCAATCCTACATCTAACTTTACCAATGTCCTGTATAATTGCAGCAAGACATCCTTGTTCCTGTACTCAGATCCTATCGCTATGAGCTCCGACACACAATTTGTCTCCTTCACTGCCTGCTGCACCTGCATGCTCACTTTCAGTGACTGATACATGAAGACACCCAGGTGTCTCTGAACATTCCCCTCTGTCAATTTACAGCCAAGCAAATAATAACATGCTTTCCTATTTTTGCTACCAAATTGGATAGCCTCATATTTATCCACATTATGTTGCATCTGCCATGCATTTGCCCACTCATTCAAGTTGTCCAAATCACAAAACAACATTTTGCATCCTCCTCACAGCTCACTGTTCCACCTAGCTTTGTGTCGTATACAAATTTGAAGATATGACATTTAGTTCCCTCCTCTAAATCATGAACATACATTGTGAATAGCTGGGGTCCTAATACTGATCCCTGCAGAACCACACTCGTCATTGCCTGCCATTCAGAAAAAGACCTATTGGTTCTTACTGTTTGTTTCCTGGCTGCTAACCAATTTTCGATCTGTCTCACACTGCCCCCAATCCCATGCACTAATTTTACACATTAATCTCTTTTATGTGGAACTTTGTCGAAAACCTTCTGAAAGTCCAAATGAACCACGTCCAATGCCGCCTCCAATCAACTCTACTTGTTATATCCTCAAAGAATTCCAGTAGATTTGTTAAGTATAATTTCCCATTTGTAAATCCACACTAACTGTGTCTGATTCTATCGCTGTTTTCTGAGTGCTCTGTTATAAAATTCTTGATCAATGGACTGTAGACTCTTCACTACTATCGATGTCAGACTCACTGGTCGATGATTCCCTGTTTTCTTTCACCTCCCTTTTTAAATAGCAGGGTTACATTATTTATTGTCCAATCTGTAGGGACTGTTCCAGAGTGTAAAGAATCTTAGAAGATGACCACCAATAGATGCATTATTTCTGGGGCCACTTCCTTTTGTAATCTTTGATGTAGATTATCAGGCCTGGGATATTTATCAGCCTTCAATCCCACTAATTTCTCCCACGTCATTTATTACTAATGCAGAATTACTTCAGTTTCTCCCTCTCACTAAATCCTGTGTTCCCTATCATTTCTGGTATGTTATGTGTTTCCCCCTTTGTGAAGACAGAAGCAATGTATGAATTTAGTCTGTCAGTTTTTTTTTGTTCCCCATTATAAATTCACTGTGTTTCTGACTGTAGGGGACCTATATTTGTTTTCATTTTTTTTCTTTTTACATAGCTACGTAAACTTTTACAGTCAGTTCTTGTGTTCCCCGAAGCTTACTCTCATACTTTATTTTCCCCTTAACCAATCCCTTGGTACACCTTTGCTGACTTCTAAACTGTTCCAAATCCTCAGGTCTATTGTTTTTTCTTCCTAATTTGTATGCCTTTTATTTGAACATAATATCTCTCATAAGCCATGGTTTGGCCACTGTTTTCTTCATTTTCTTGTATGCCAGACAGGAATAAACAATTTTTGCAAGTCACTCATTCACTCTTTAAATGTTCGCCTGTCCACTGTCATTCCTTTCAGTAACATTTCTCAATTCATCATAGTCAGCTCACACCTCATATCACTGTAGTTTCCCTTATTAAGAATCAGGACCTTAGTCTTAGAATCAACTACATCTCTCTCGTTTTTGATGAAGAATACTATCATATCCTATCTGGCCATTATGCTTAGCTGCACAAAGTGTAGGCACACTGATCTATTAGCTGGTGGTAGCTGCACACCAGATTGGTGCTGCTCTTTCCTTGCTGCTTTCAAGATTTGGCAGAAAATCAAGAGGCTTCAGAAACACTTCTCGTTCCATACCCTTCACACACTATCTAGATGGTGCATTGCTCAACCATTTAAAATGTACACTGCAAAGTATAGTTTTGAAAAGCATTGCCGTTTACTAAAAGACGATATGTGGACCTTTAACAGGGCTGCACAAAGTGGCAACTCTGAAAAACTGTCCCAACTAAAGCATGACAGTTATTCCCACTTTGATCTGTTGCATATTTCTGCTACTTCTCAGTTCTCAATTTTGTTTTCCATGTCATTTTTATTCCATACACACTTTTGCCATTCTTACTGTGGGAACTGAGCTGAATATTCCAAATATACTGAGCTGTCAGGCAATTACAAACAGACTGTCTTATAGAAACAGTTATGGTGTCTGAATCATTCAGGTGCCAGAAATAGCAACATACTCTAAAACTAACTTTTCTATTTCATTTTTCCTTTATCACTGTTGTAAATGATTGACAGACCCTGATAACACAGGCCCTTGGGGAGTAATAAACAAATAATATTCATTTTTAAAGATAGTTAATGCCAAAGCCTCAGTAAGAATTTGATGAGTTTGAGTACAGCTTTTCTCATCTTATTCTTTTTGCAGTTTGCATTTATTGAACAATGGGGAGAATTCATTTGCTTGTTCTAAACCGTCCCAAGGGATCTTTCTCTCCAGCCAAGAAGGCAGGCAATGTCTCAGTTTAACACCTTAACTGAAAGACAGCATCACTGAGAGTGTTGCATTCCTTCAGTACTGTACCACATTGTCAGCTGTTACACCACACGCACAGGTCCCTGGGATGAGACTTGCTTGCAACCTTCTGGCTCGGATGAACCATGGCTGACAGCAGCGTTTTTTGTAATCCATTAATATGTTGATGGTTACCATTGGCCAGCCTCAAGCTGGATTAGCCACGTAAATACTGGAACTACAGGGGTAAGACAGAGGCTAGAAATTCTGCAGGGTCCAACTCACCTCTTAATTCCCCAAAACCTGTTTGCTATCTTCAAGAGACAATTCAGGAGCATAATGCTACAATCTCCACTTCCCTGGAAGGATGCAGCTCCAACAATGAACGAACATGGGGAGCAGGAATAGGCCATTCAGCCCCTCGAACGTGTCCCACCAATAAATAACATCATAACTGATCTAATTGTTTCCTCAAATCCACCTTCCTACTTTCCTCCAAATTAACCTTTCACTCCCTCGCTTAACAAGAATCGAATCATCTCTGTCATAGAGTTTTCAAGGATTCTGCTTCCAACATCTTTTCGGGAAGAGAGTTCCAAAGCCACTAAACCCTCTGAGAGAGAAATAATTCAGCATAATCTCTGTTTTAAGTGGGTGACCCCTGATTTCTTTTTTTTAAATCTGTGACTTCTAGTTTTAGATTCAACCGAAATAGGAAACACCATCACCACATCTGCCCTTTTGGTTCCAATGAAGTCACAACCTACTCTTGTGAACTTCAGCAGATACCAGTATAGAATGTGCAGCCTTTTCTAATAAGACGAATGTCTGAATGATGGACAATAAATGTTACCCACCAGTGAAGTTCACATCCCAAGAGCAAATAAAAAAAATAAATCCTTGCCAACTCCTTCCTGTAGCAGAGATACCCTTGATAATTCATCCCATCCAAATTTCAAATTATTTATTTAGGGAATTATGAGCAGCTGGTTATTCTAATTTTAAAGGCTGGGAACACAGTTACAACCAACCAAACTAATCAGTTAGAATAGCAAAGACCCAGGAGAGGTTATTTTTCTCAAGTTTCTTGATGTTAATAGAAAACATCAGTATGAATATAAATTAGGAAAATGCAATGATCAATGAGGATAATAAGGCAACTTTGTTGGAGTGGACATGGACAGGCTAAAAAGGCTAAATTTTGTAACAAATCCCTATCATTTGTTAATTTTCAGGCCTGAAATTCTGAAGCAGGAGATAAAGGTGTTCTTTGTGAAGTACAATGACCCAATCTATGTGAAACTGGAGAAACTGGACATCATGATCCGTCTGGCCTCTCAGGCGAACATTGCCCAGGTTGGTGTATGTTTCTTGACTGACCAACCCCAAAGTAATGTGAAAGCACATGACTGCCCTCATTGTGAGACTGAGGAAAAGGATTTAAGTTTGAAAACTGTGATGGATGTCTTGTAATGGAAAACCATAGATGAATATTTCCTGTACATAAATATATTTAGAATCTAATGTAAGTGCAGGGGAAGCCATTCAGCCAGTTGTGCCAGTGTTGCATGGAGATCATATATAAGTCTTGGCTACATCGTAAGTATTCAGTTACTTATGATAGAATGGGAGTCATCTCTTCAGTTACATTGATCTACCTAATGTCTGCAGTGTTTGAATTGTTTGTTTTAAACCATTCTCTTCCACCTGTGCTCCTCTTAAGGCCAAGCTAAATGGGGTAGTGCTTGCATGGTTCCTCATCTTCCAGGGCAGCTACTGCATCTTTGACAATGGGTTTAATTGTGTTAGATCTCATATCTTTCAATGAGAGTCTGAGTTACGGAAGTAGGCTCAAAATGTGCCATTATTTGTATAGTACTGATACTGCATACAGTACAAAAGAAGGTGCAAGGTCACGAAGGCACAAAAAAAACCAGAATAGAACAAAGAACAGGAAAATCAGAACAAAATCATTAGAATAATATTCAGAAAATCGAATATTCAGAAAAACAGAAAAATCACAATAATATCAGAATCTACATTGTTAAAAATCTGTCTTTATGCATTTTGTTAGAATACCCATGCCCCCTCCCCGATTACTATTGGTCAGCAGAGCCAAGCTGTTGCTGTGTGATTGGCTCTCTCGTAGATGGACAGGCATGTGGCTCAATCATATTTAAACTTTTAAGGTTTTGAAACTCTTCATACAGTTTTCTGTCTGAGTAACTTTGCTGGAACTGACAACTAGAAATTTCTCATTACAGGTAAAATAAAAGAATATTGACTTTTGATCAGTTCCAACACAGTTATATGGTTTAGCACATTCCCATTAAAATTCCAATATCTTAAGCAAGTGAATGAGAGAGAAAAAAGTGGCTGTCGTTAACCATTTGTGGTCTGGTTTGAATCCTTTTATGAACTAATTTAGTTCTGTAATTATCAATCAAATAGTGAAGTCTAGAATTGTTTTATTTATGGTTTAGAGTTGAATCAAATGTCAAATATTGTTAGTTATGACCTTGAATATTGCCATTATTTTATCTATGGCCTGCAGAATGTTCTTCAAATGTATGTACTAGCTACAACTGTTGGATTATTCAGGTGTTGTTAAGTGCAAATGTTAATTTTGTTATCTTATGGCCTTAGTTGACCACGGGAAAAATGTTGTCAGCTACTGTTGAGGGGTCATCTTTTGCTACTCAGTGATGGGCAGCTGTCGGCCATCTTGTGCTATTCAGCGAAAGCTGGCCCTATCAAGTTGACATATACTTACCTTGAGAATTTCCCAAAGAACTATCCTCCTTCACCATTGCTTCTCTGTTGTAATGTTACTAATAGAGGAAAGAACTGCATTCAACTGTGTGTTGATGATGCTCACACTTCTACTTAACCATTTTTCTTTATCGCATGACCATAACTATTCAACATTTAAATTAATTAAGTTGAATCTTGGTAACAGTAGAATCTCTGGAAGATCACAACATTTGGTGCCAAAATTCCTGTTTAGACAATTTGAGTGGATAAAACAGAAAATCTGTGTTCTGTTCAGTGCAGCCTTTTGCAAACCAGTGCACCCCTCACCAAATATAATCTGCCTTTGTCCTTACCTTAAGCCCACTGTAGATGAAGCACATATCCATGCTATAACTTCACCAATGTTCTTCTTTCTAATTTCTAGACTTCAACCTTCCTGTAAAATCCAATTTGTACAAAACCCTGCTGCCTGATATCCTGTACTTGACTAAGAACTGTGCACTCATCTTCAGTGTTACCTGTTGACATAAATTGGTCTCATGTCGCCAAACAGAACAAATTTAAAATCCGAATCTAAAAGTTATTCCATGGTTTTGAAAGAGCCAATATCTGAAGTTTTCTTCAGCTTTGTATTCTTCAAGTCCTCTGATTCTGACTGTATCTACATTTCACTATAGCAGTATGTCCATGACAGGGTCTTTAACACTTCACCGCTTTCTTACAAGCTTCCTCCTCACCTTGAAAATATTCACAAGAAAATGTTGAGAGTGTCATACTTGTCACACACATAGCCATTGGTCAGAATAATGACATGCCGTTTCAATCCAAGTTTAATCAATTTTTATGCATCTTGTTTGGAAAAATTGTGGTGCCAAATGTGCACTGATCCATTTGGCAACTGTCAAGCTGGTACTGAAATACAAGAGTACAGACAGCATAAAAATGCTGGCACTCATTAACATGGTGATCCATTCAATTGATTCACCTATAACCATCTCTCACCTTGAGCCTGTTCAAAATGCAAAACCTTCTGTTTCAGATTTGCAAGCCACACATTTTGAAGAGTCCGTGCTGTTACAATATGACCTTTTCTGTTGAATGTTCCTTATGCATTGCTGTGGTTTGAAGTGTGGAGTGTGCAATATATTTGTTCAGTCACTCTGCAAGTCCAGGCTTGTTAGCGATGTCAGTTAATTTCCATAAATTCAGAAATCAGCATTATATTTTAATTTTATATCACTCGAGAATATGTATTAACCTGTCATTTGTTGTTTTAACTTCTGTTCTGCGTAGGTTTGTTGCCCTTATTTGTTGGATAGAGGTTTATGATTGTGAATTACAGTGTGTGGGTGTGGGGAGGGGCGAGTTGGTTAGCTCATTAAGTTGAATGGCTGGTTTGTGAAGCAGAGCAATGTCGGTGCAGGTTCAGTTCCAGCTTTGGCTGAGGTTACCTCAAGTGTTTGAAGAGATCTGATTGGTATATTTATCTACTGTAACGTATTGCTAGTAATTATCACAGAGGAACAGATTATTTTGTGATTGGTAATCTCAGTTCACAAACAGGAACTGATTCCTCAATAACCCTCACTATTTTAAACTTGTGTATCTTTTGAAATATCCCCTGTCCAGTATTGAGATGTGTGGTTGCAAGTCTAGAAAGGTGCAGAGAGCTGGATAGTAACAAAGAGTTAGAAGTCCTGGTTTTTATGCTGCTATTTGTTTTCTTAATTTGTTAGAAAAGACCTTGCATTTCTAAGTAAGGCCTGTTCGCCTATCACTCATTTGCTCATTGACTTACATTGCCACCTGGTCTGCCACCACCTCAATTTTAAAATTCTCATCCTTATGTTCAGAGCCCTATATCGCCTCGCCCTTCCCTATACGCATAACCTCGTTCAGCTTACAACCTTCTTCCAACTCTGCCTTCCTGTATATCATTGTCATTTGCCACACAGTTGGCAATCTGTGCTTTCAGCTGTTTGGTAGTTCTTTCCCAAAACCTCAATCTCTACATCGTGCCTTCTCTTTTAAAATGTTGTTTATAATCCCTTTATGACCAAGATTTGGTCACCTGCTCTACTGTCAGCTGTTTTAGGTATGTGAGTTGTTTTTTGAAGAGAAAGCTTGATAGACACATTTCGGAGTCAAGACGGGTCTTGACAGACTAGAAAGGGAGAAATAATTCCCACTGGTGGAAAGATAAAGAACGACAGAGTACAAATCTAAGGTATTGGCAAAAGAAATGACATAGACATGAGGATAGCATTTTCACATGGTGACTGATTGGGTTCTGCCTGAGAGTGTGGGGAAAGCAAGGTGAATCAGGGCATTCGAAAGGAAATGGGATCATTATCTGGAAAGGAAAAAATATACAGGGCTAGGATCGAAGGCAGGAAATTGACACTAAGTGAATTGCTCCTGCAGAGAATCAGCATGGAAACAATGTGTCGAATGGCCCCTGTGTTGTTGTAACCTTTATTGTGACAATTCTGTTATTCATTTCATAAATCTGTGAATTGTCGATGGACCTTGTGTGAAGAAACTTGGAATATTTTATGAATGCCAGTTATTGCTGAGTTGATTTCCTGCTAAGTTCTCCAAAATATTTTCCAAGTTACTGTATTTTAACATTTGAAATAAACAGGAATATACTGAGAGGGCTAGATGAAGTGAGACACCTTTGCGAGCAAGAGCAGTACAGGTCAATAAGATTTTAAAGAGGGTATATGGAATGCTCTTCTTCATTGGCAGAGGTATAAAGTACAAAAGTAGGCTTATAATGATGAAGTGGAGCAGGAAGGTCAACATTTCAGGCGGGACCCTTCACCAGGACTCGTGAAGGGTCCCGACCTGAAATGTCGACCTTCGTGCTTCTCTGATGCTGCCTGGCCTGCTGTGTTCCTCCAGCTCCACACTGTATTGACTCTGACTCCAGCATCTGCAGTTCTTGCCATCTCCACATAATGATGAAATTGTGTAAGACACTGGTGAGGTCACATTAGAGTGTTGTGTGTAGTTCTGGTCACCACATTACAGGAAGGACACAATTGCTCTGGAAAGTGCAGAGAAGATTTATTAGAATAGTGCCAGATCTAAACATTGTAGCCATGAGGAGAGATTGGAGAGGTTGGAGTTGTTTTCCTCAGAACATAGAAGGCTGGGTGGGGGGTGTGGGGGTTGTGGGGCATGATTGAGGTATACAAAATTGATGGCTAGAATTAGAGGTATCACTTGGCAGAGAGCTCAAAAACCAGGGGTGATAGATTCATACTAAATGGAAGAAGGATTAGAGGGGATGTGAGGAAAGGCTTTTTTATACAGAGGATGGTGGGCGTCTGGAATTTGCTGCCTGAGTTGGTGGTGGAGGCAGAGACCCTAAACTCTTTCAAAAAAATACCTGGATCTGCACCATAAATGCTGTAAACTGCAGGGCTATGGACCCTATGCAGGAAGATGGGGTTAAAAAGAGCATCTGGGTGTCTTTGAGTTAGTATGGACAAAATGGAACAAGTGGCCCCCTTGTGTACTGTATCATCACTATGGTGCTATGGAAAGTTAACGTGATGTCAGGAAAAACAAAACAGCCCTGTAATGTTCAATAT